AAATTATTACACTATGTGAAGAGTTCCCCCAAAATATTAATCCATAGTTCATAATAGAATGAAAGTAGGCATGGTAAACCATCTTCAATGTTTCCTGTGACATAAAAGGCTTAATTGATCTCATCGCATAGCAAGCTGCATTTAATTTAGGTATAATTTGTTCAATATGTATTTTCCAAGACAGTGTACTGTCTACATGTATTCCAAGGAATTTTGTATCAAGTACTTTACAGATTAATTTGTTGGCATAACTGATGTCCAGATCAATTTGGTGGTTGTTTTTAGTTGTGAATGATATGTAATGGGTTTTATCAAAATTTAATGAGAGTAAATTGGCTTCGAACCATCTGTTTAAGGCTTCAAATACAATATTTATGTCATTTTTAAAGTTTTCAAATTTAGAGTTCTTAAATATTATACTAGTGTCATCTGCATATAGAATTGGTTTAGATTTATTGTTGATGGTTTTAGATAGATCATTTATGTAGAGAAGAAAAAGTAAGGGACCTAAAATTGATCCTTGTGGAACACCGTGCTTTATAATTCCCCAGTTTGAAAATGCATTATGACTGGAGTTTTTATTATTTATTTCAACTCTTTGATACCTGTTTTTGAGGTATGATTTGATCCATTCATTAGCTTTGCCAGTTATTCCATAGAAATTTAATTTCGATAGTAAGATATCATGATTAACACAATCGAAAGCTTTTGCTAGATCACAGAAAATCCCTCCCACAATTAATCTGTCATTGAGAGCACTTAAAATATCGTTAGTTAGTTCATAGGTTGCTTTTTCTGTTGTTAGGTCTTTCCTAAATCCAAATTGCTCTTTGACTAATATGTTGTTAGAATTTAAGTGTTCAAGTAGTCTATTATACATAACTTTTTCAAAGACTTTTGAGAATGAAGTCAATATGGATATTGGTCTGTAATTAGAGATGCATTTTCTCTCTCCTTTTTTAAAAAGTGGTTTCATTACAGCGTATTTTAAGCGTTGAGGAAAAGTACCTGATGATAAAGATTTATTACATAGATGATTCAAGGGTGAACTGATGTAAACAGAGCTTGCTTTAAGTAATTTGGTAGAGATTTCATCATATCCATGTGAATTTTTGGGCTTAAGGGATTTAATAATGTTTTCAATTTCCTTCCTTGTTGAGAATTTGAGATTGATATTTGGAAATGAATTGTTAAAGGCACGAGACAGATAGTATATTGGATTATTATTATTATTATTATTATTATTATTATTATTATTATTATTATTGGAATATGTTTTCTCAGCTAATGAAAGGAAATATTCATTAAATGCACTTGCGATAGCTTGTGGATTGTTAGTGGACTTCCCTTCAATATTCAAACTTTGTACGTCTTCATTAACAGATTTCTTTCCTGATTCAACTTTCACAATATCCCAGGTGGTTTTAATTTTATTGTTTGATTTTAGAATTTGGCTGTTATAGTTATTCTGTTTGGCTTCTTTAATGACTTTTGACAAAATTTTACAGTACATTTTGTAGTGACTTTTTAGTCTTGGATCATTACTGTCCCTACTGGCCAAATATAGTTGTCTTTTGTGTTTACATGAAGTTTTTATTCCAATTGTTATCCAGGTGGATTTGTTTTTATTTTCATTTTTGACTATTTTTAAGGGAAAGCTTGAATAAAAGATCCTCAAGTATGTGTTCAGAAAGCAATTAAATTTAGAATCAATATTATTGCTGTCAAATACATTGTCCCATGATTCATTACTTAATTTTGTGACAAAATCTGCCATCGTATGCTTGTTGATTTTCCTTACTGTTTGATATTGTTGATTACTGGGCTGAAGGTCAATATTATTTATTTCTATGAGTTGAGCATCATGATCGGATAAGCCATTTATAAAGGGTCCTACAGTATAGTCTCTTAATTTTGAGTTATCAATGAATATATTATCTATCGCTGAACTAGAATTATTTTGAACTCTTGTGGGAAAGTTAACAGTACTGGAGAGATTGTAAGATGATAACAAAGAGTCTAAATTTAGTTTCCTATTACTGTCGATGAGATAGTTTATATTTATATCACCACAAATTATAAATTCAACTTTTGAACTATGCAGTACATTTAGGATGGTTTCTAATCTATTTATAAAGTGATTGAAGTTTCCAGATGGGGCTCTATATAAAGTCAGTATACAAATATTAGAAAAAGGAGAGTCTAACTTTAGAGCACATGCTTCCAGATCCTGGTCTTTGCAATAATCTTCTAAATTTATTTTAGTAAATTTTAGGTTTTCATGTACAAAAATACTCACTCCTCCTTTCTCCAGTGTTTTCCTACAGTATCTAGCACCTAAATTATAATTTTCTAAGTGAAGATGTTCTAATTCCAGCTGTTTCATGTGATGTTCAGTAAGGCACAGTATGTGTGGAAGATTTGAATTCATGGAGCTTATTAGTTCATTTGTTTTGTTTCTCAATCCTCTTATATTCTGATGGAATATTCTTAGTACTTTATTATTCATTGAATTTAGTAGACTGCAATTACCTTTTCTGATTTCTATTGGTTCGCTTACATTATTGTCTGAAAGATTAGTTTCTTTTGCAATTTCTTTTACTTGATAAACTTTACTTGCACTCTTTATCCTAAAAAATGATTCTGAACACCCATGACAACTGGAATGTGTCTGCCTTTAATGCTCTCTGCAATGAGTCGCGTCAGCTTGTCCTTGCCTCGAGGATTAAGATGCAAACCATGGACAGTATGTTCGCTCCTCAATATTGAAGAGACATCAATCGCATCAATGTGGGCCGCCCCGACCTCCACAAGCGAACGCTCAAGCCGAAGATTAATCTCCCTTACACACCTGTTAATCCATGGCTTGTCATGTCACCAGAGAAGACCAACAAACCTCACATTGGTGTGACTAGTTTTCTGGGCAATGTCACTTAAATCTTTCTCAATCTGATAATTGATGTTTCTCTCCAAACTGTTACCTGGCCCCCCAAATATAACTACCTGATCTTCTTTACTAAAACCTTTGCACAATTTTCCAATGTCCCCAGTGACATTGCTCAGCATTGGGCTTGAATATGCTTGGAATACAGATTGCAACTGCAAATGGTATTTGCTTGATAATGGCTTTAAAAGCCAAAATATGTAGCTAAGGTGATGTTGACCTAGAATGTTTCATTGTTGATCGCTGTTGTGTTGCGACGGATCCCATTAAAGAATTTTACATAATAACATAACAGGATGCACCCAATGAAAATTATATGATATTTGTCTGAGGGAGGACAGTTGCTTATATAGATTATGATAAACCAAGTGGCCTAGTTTTTTTCCTTGGGGAACTCCATGGTTTATTGTTCCCAAATTTGAGAAGGCATTTTGGGTTGCACTGGATAATCTTACATCAGTCTTTTGTTTGCTGCCTGTTAGATAAAACCTTAACCAGTTTTCCACTGTTCCTTTAATGCCAAAATATATAATTTAACTGTTTAATGTAACAGTAAAGTCCCTTTGCTTAACTGATTAAGCACTACGTTATGAAGGTGTATGGGGGAGTGGATATATAGATCCAAATTTTCTTGACCTCAGCACCAAGATTTTATAATTTACTCAGTCAAAAGCTTTTGCTAAATCACGGGACTCCTTCAGCATGCATTTTTCCATTATTAGATTTGAATCTGCTGTTTGTTTAAAGTCTGCATTTATAATGGATGTCCCTCTCCTGAAGCCAAACTGTTCTGGGACTAATATGGTATTAGTTTGCAAACAATAGTTAACCTACTGTAATATCTCTCTGAACTGCTTCTGGCAAATAGGTAATAGTGAAATTGACCTGTAGTTTGTTATGCTTGTTTTGTTCGCCTTTTTTACAGTAGTTTCCCTATTGAAATCTTAGGATGGTCAGGGAGGATACTTGTGCATAGTGAATGATTACAAATGTAGGACCTGGTTGTAAAATGGTTACTGTGCTCTGGTACTAGGATCTTTGATGTGGATTTTGATGTAACAGACCATAACATATTCTGACTTCATCAGATATTGAAGAAAAAATAGAAGGAAAATGGAACACTACATTAGCTGTTTATATACCTATGACATTCTTCAACATTCTTAATGGATTTGGTATACCATGAACTAACCTGTTTGAATGAAACCTATACTATACAGTCTGTACAGATAAATACTTGTCCGCATTTCCTATTCAGAATAGACTAAGGAAAGAAGATGCTTACTGTTACTGCTTTTAATCTTTGCTATTTGCCATGGGAGTCAAGCAAAAAACAGCAGGGACTGGAACTGAATGGGACACATCAAGTTCTGGTCTATGCTGATAATTGATTTGGGTCTAGATGTAAAGTGAAAAGTTATGTACATGTTCATGTCTTGTCATCAACATTTAGCCAATAAATGATTTGAAAATGTGAAAGTTCAAAGGTGCATTAATGAAATGAGAGAAAAGGTCTGGAAAATGGTTTTATACCATTCAACTCAGATGTGTTTGTGTACAGAGATTAAAATATTCAGAACTATAATTTTACCTCTGAATGGGTGTGAATTTAAGGGAAGAACATAGACTGAAGGGGCTACAGAACACAGTGTACAAATATTTGGATCCACGACTGGAATTGGCTGGAGGCTTGAGAAAATGGCGTGAAGAGATTCATACTTTGTACACATTTTTCCAAAAATAGTTGAATGATCAAGAGTAGGAGGATAATATGCACCTCTAAGCAAGCACTGATGATTAGAAATTCTTGACTTATACTCCTACATTAGGAAACCTCTAGGGAAGAGAGACCTATTGGAAAAGGGTGTAGAAGGAAACATAGTACTAAAGTGGATCTTAAATAAGATAGGTGTGAACTTTGTCCACCTGGCTCAGCAGAGTCCACTGTAGACTGTTGTGAACATCATAATGGACCTGTTAAAAATTATGTAAATAACTCATTCTGTGAATGTACTTGTACCAGAATATTAATAAAACTAATGAAATAATAGTATATAAAATGCAGTTCAAATAATTTTTATTGAACAAACTTCATGGTACATCATTTCAGTTATTACATACAGGCCTGATGCAGAATACATTTAAGAAAAAAAAACTTTGTAATATTTATGTATTGTAACATGTTTAACACCCTGTGAAGTTTAAAATGATACACACTACTTAGTACAGAGCTTTTAAATGCCTGCAAAGGGTTAACAGATATTAGACTTGAAGCATCAACGATTAGCTTTCCATCTTCTGAGGTTCATCTGCCTTGGGGGTAGTGCCTGGCTTAATTGCTGGGGCCTGGGTCTGTGTGATTGGAATAACCTTCTCATTACCAGCCTGAGGCAGGGCCTTCTTTGGTGCAGAAATAGTAAGGACCCCATCTGATGAAAGCTGAGATACTACAGTGTCTGGATCAATATCTGCAGGAAGCTTATAGCGACGCTGGAACTGTCGAGAAATGAATCCATGCTCATCCTGTCTCTCTTCATGCTTACCCTCTACAACCACATGGTCGTTCACAGTCTTTACTGTAAGTTCATTTGGCTTGAACTGCTGCACATCCAAGTTTACCTGAAACAAATTTAAAAAATAATATGGCATTATTACATAAACTGAAGTTGTGGATATAACTTGGAGCTATAAAATAAGGTGTCTGATATCTATTCACGGGACAGATTATTTATTTCAGATGATATATGTGCACAACTATCAAACATTGGTAGTGTTATAAAATGTAAAAATGAATGCATCAAGTAACTTGTATTACCTTATGCATCACACTAATACACTTCATTTAAAATGCTAGACCTTCGTGTAACAGTCATCCACTTGTTCCATTTTATTCTAATTCATTTGACTGATTTAATGCAGACTAAACAAATTTATAAAAATCTGTGCATGGAGAAGAAAACACACAGGAAGATGGACTGAGTTGTGGCACCTTTTAGTCATGTAGGTGGTTACCAATATGAGGAGCTTCATAACTTGTACTCTTCTCCAAGTATAATTAGAATGATCAAGTCAAGGAGGATGAGGTGGGCAGGTCATGTAGCACGAATGGGGGAGACAAGGAATGTGTATAGGATATTGGTGGGAAAGCCAGAAGGTAAGAGACCACAGGAAAGACCAAGGTGTAGGTGGGTGGACAATATTAGAATGGATCTTAGAGAGATAGGATGGGATGGATTGGATATATCTGGCTCAGGATAGGGACCAGTGGAGGGCTCTTGTGAACACGGTAATGAACCTTCGGGTTCCATAAAATGCTGGGAAATTCTTGAGTAGTTGCAGAATTGGCGGCTCCTCCAGAAGGGCTCAGCTCCATCAGTAAGTAAGGTGGTTACCAATATTATGGAAGAACTTGCTGCCTCCATCATGATGATAGAAGACAACTGACTTCACATTCTTCTGGAGTACAACACCATACAATCTTACAGACGGTTACCAGCATTCAAATGACCCACCTACAAGACTACGCAGTGTCACAACCTAGTCCACTGTGTAGATTTTAACTGAGAACCTCATTTTTCTTATAATATGAAATTGGCATTTACACACTGCTGTGACACACACATCCATTCAATACGTAACTTGTTTTACAATACACACTCCAACCTGGTATTTCTCAAAAAATGAACACCCACACTTCAGCAAGCACCAGCATGTACTTACCTTGAAACCATCTTTATCATTCTGAATGTGTGACCCGCCACCGTGGCGGGCAGCATGACTACGCCATGGTCTATAATAGCCTGCCCGAAGAGGGGCCAAAATGGAAGGGTTGAGCAGATCATCTCCGAGCAATCCCATGCCGAAGTTTTGGTCAAATAAACTTACTGGTCTTTGTAGTTCATCAAACAAATCACCAATAAGCAATGGAACCAGAGACATCTGCAATAAAGGTAAATTAATTTCCTTAGGTATTTCATTTGGTTCTTGTCTCTGCGAAGATTCAAACCCCATACCACTCGAACGCAAATCTAAAGCGGTACTGTTACGCCAGCTCTATCGCTGGGGCCATTCTAAATTTTCTTCAGTTTTTCGCACACCCTAGTTACTTAGCGTCCCACTGGTACAATTCATATGCAAAGACTGAAAAATCACTCTCCGCCTGTACAGACACTGTGCTGTGAATATGCAATATTAATGCAGGGAGGCACGATGGGGAACACAAAATGTCGCAGTTTGTTCACGTGAATAATCAGATCACAAACCTACACCATGTGATGACGCCACATCACCCTACTTGTTTTTCTTTCAGTGTACCTTTTTCGGCTGTAAAAGATCTGGTCTTCTTGCCCGTTTACTATCTGACTTAACTGTGAAATACTAATCATGAATCTGCAATCGAACGATCCAGAACCAACTAGACGAAAACCCATTATGCCACGGTGTCACAGCGATCTGCTGTTACTAAAACATTATATTTTTAAAAACATGTTTTTAATAAGCAACAAAGCTCCACAAATATTTACTATATGAAGTTCACAAGCACAAATACTGAAAATAACTACACAAGATCATACTAATATATACACTAAAACTGCCAGTATTTTAGTATTGTCTTATATAACTGTTTTCAGTGTTTGTGGTTTTATATACATATATAAAAACATTTTCCTAAATATATCCGAAGAATTTCTAACTTACCTTTCGGGCCTCTATGCGAAAACTGTTAGGCTTGGTAACACGCAAAACAAATTTCCCGCTGCAAACTTCACTTAACAAAACCAACTGCGTTCCACCTCCTTTCACTCTCAACTTTTACCGCGATTGCTCAGAGCAGACGCTGCGTCACTCAGCTCCTTTCGCTTATATACGTTCTCATCACCACTTCGAGAACTTCGAGAACCATCTAGCTCATCTAGCTCGATCTAGCTTGATCAGTACCACAGATCACTTAGTTCCGTGCCTGTCTCTACGCTCTGTGGCGAGATAACGAAAATCAGATCTAAATTAAGCGGTACGAATCCGTGGTATTTTGATTGGTCTGGAAAGTCAAGTGAAACTGAATGCTATTGGTTGGACACGTATGACGTACGTCTCCGATTCGTGGTATAGATTTCACTCGAAAGTTCCAAGGAATGTTGCCGAGTATGTTGTTACTCAGGACAAGAACGTAGAACATTCGAGCCTGTTCCTGCGGTTTCAACCGTTAATGTATATGTCTTCTGGTATTATCTCGTCAGTCGCCATGATTGTGATTCTTTAGCATGAATTTCCTTCTATGTAGGGGAATGTCTGCATAAACATAGCGGGCAAAAGTGAAACTTCACATTTTTATGGGGAAATGTATTGCAATTTATAAAATATTTCCAGTATTGTGGGAGGAAAGTGGCGGGGAATATAAGAATAGGAATTTACAATAAGCATGTAATGGAAAGTTAATGGACAAGTTTAACTGTATTCATTTTAGTCCTTCACACTGGTTAATGGACAAATTTAGGAAAACTGACCCACCTGCGGAAAGGGATTGGCTGAAAAGAAATAAGCTAAGAACTTGCATTACATGATTAAACAATGAAACATAAGATGCATGGAAATCTGTAGATTACCCACAAGGTAAAAATAAAGTTATCCATGGGTTTGATTAATTAGGCACCATGCCGTGAAGACGTATGGCTGAGGACATCGTATAACTCCACCATTCTTAATCTCGGTACTAGATAGATGTGACTGATAAGCTTCATGCCATTACCTCTTCATTCTCTGGGAAACAGCCTACGGCACCCATTGTATAGGAGGCTGAGTGGACCTCGGGGACGGTCTGGTAGTTATGGAGAAGAGAAAATCTCTTACCCCTACCAGAAATCGAACCGACTCCTCGGACGTCTAGCCCGTAGCCTAGTCGCTGTACCGGCTTCCGAAGATTACACCCAACATAAACCTGCTAGGGAATCGATAGATGAAATTCATCTTCTAGAGAATTCAAACAAGCACCAGGGACATTGTAATTCTACACTTGACCCGCACAGATGAGGCTGTATGTGAGATATTTAAAGACTAATTTCTGTAGCTTTAAGTGATATGTAGAATACAGAATGTTACTGGTCATGTCATATTAGTCTCATGATGAAAGTAACATGCTACAGATTTTGAAAATACTATAATGCTATATTGAAATTTGACAGAAGTGACTTGAGGATATCGGGTATAACAGAAATGACAGTAGTAATGAAGAGGCCAGACTATCGCATGAAAGTGCTCGTGTGGAAATGGATGATTTATAGCATTCTTCTGATGTTGAGTTAACTGGAATGTAAGTACGACGCTGAAGTTAATTCAGCAATGAATTGCAAGAATTTTTTTCAGAGAGAAAAGAATTAATCACATGAATATGAGGATAGGATGAACGCCAAAGAACTAAAATTATAGAAGATACTTTCTGTGTTGGTATCGGCAGTAGTACATTTATAAATATAAGAGAGTAAAACTGGTTATATGATTGACACTTTTGAATAATGACATATATGTAAAGTATTAATAAATTGTATTAGCATTTTAGTTTTTGACCTTGTTTTCAGGTCAGAAGGCGGAAGTATTCTTCGTAGTCATATTCATCAGAACGTCAGATCTAAAATTGTGTGACACATGTCAGAGAGTAGAAGCGATTCGTAATAAAATACGTACGCTGACTCAACCCATTAATTATTTATTGTACACAAAACCATGCGAAATTATACGCTTATCAGTACAGGGATCGTCTACAGTACTTACTGATCCGTGATCTGCGGTTTGACTACTTTGGACCATAGATAAATATGATACTTCCTGTATTCTGAGGGTTAATATTTATCCTGCAGAATCACCAAATTGAAAGATTCTGTCAGAGTACGTGTGCACAACAAAAATACTTAGTAATATGGATCTTAGAAAAGCATCTCCGCATGATACCATGTGAATGACTTGGTGTATATGGAATTTGTTTTAAATCAAACGAATTAATGCACATGTTTTCCTTTAACCTCGGAACTTGATGGCATTCTGCTGATTTTTGGTGTGCCCAAAGGCTTAAATGTCTTAGGCATTTTACCTTCCGTAGTGACGTAACTTTCTAAATACTCTCAAGGCTTTTTATATGTGCATCTTCGGTCATTGTGTACGAGACATATACAAATTTCCCATAATGCAATTGTTCCTCGAACCACTACAATTCACTTCCGCTAAATATTTTTCCGGGGCGTACAGAGTCAAGCTAGACACTTTCGTAATATTAGAGCGTTGTTTTTTAGTGTTCGCGTTTTGAGTGATGGTGACATTATGTTGGAAAGGCGGACGAATTCAGTGCTTATGTGACTCGTGTCTGCATTATGACAGATTTTATTTTGAATAGTTTTACTGTGCTAACATTCGCTAACATTAATTAAATCTAAAGGTTATGTGAACAAGGTTTATGAACTTTGAAGTGCTGGGATATGTCACCTTATGTCTGGTATGTCCAGGTATTTGCAGTGTTTCAAAATGTAGAATTTTATTTCTGCAGTCTTTCTTATTTGTTCATATAATAAGAAGGATAACTGGTAAGTTGCCAGTAACAAATGTCAATACCGTTTGAGCTCTTTGTGGAGTTACAAATAGGAATCCGTAGAAGTGTTGGTTAGGAATGTTATGGATGTTGAATTTGGGTTTCTCACAGCAGTAACTGAAGAGTTTTCAATGTAACGTCATGTAGGGCAGTGGAAGTACACGACGTTTCGGAATAACATGGTGCCTCCGTCGTCACGGTTGAAGAGTAAACCAAGCAAGTAGCCATCCAAAATGACTGTGAACTTCTAGTGGGATACACGGCATTACATACCAGAAGATAGTACTTTTCAATGTTATGGTTGATTCAGAGCATTGTAATTTGCAAACTGCTGTAGCTCTTAATAATTGGTGCAAGCTCTCTGTTTTTCAGGGTTTATACTCTTTCCTTATAGCTATCAGTACTGGTAAATACTCTGTGGCTTTTAATATTAAGATTGTAATGTAATATACCTTTTGATGTTGAATCTTCTTCTGTTCTCTGACATAATAAGCTGACCTGACTGATTTTGTATTTGATTGATAATTGATCATTGAGTGGGTTCTTAGATTACAAGATTTTACTGTGAAACAAACTTAATAAACAGAGTGTAAGATTTGAGGCTTTCACGGCGGTGACTATGAAGAAAGCAGTCTTCTGGGATTTGGCACCGTGTATATGTGGTGTTAACCGACGTTTCGGAGGAACGTATCGCCCCCATCTTCAGGGTTGAAGAAAAAAAAAGTATAAGTAAATCTGCAAGCGACAACACTGTGAGACACGGTACTTTACCGTGTCTCACGGTGTTGTCGCTTGCAGATTTACTTATACTTTTTTTTTCTTCAACCCTGAAGATGGGGGCGATACGTTCCTCCGAAACGTCGGTTAACACCACATATACATGGTGCCAAATCCCAGAAGACTGCTTTCTTCTTAATAAACAGAGCCATGGCAACAAAATCGTTATTCCCCTTACTTCTGTGGTTTATTTAATGATGCTGTTTGAGCATTAAGACTACATACTAACTGGGTTATAGGCTAATAGATGAATTGGAAAGGATTTGGAAGGCAATGGTTGTGACCTAATCAAGGTCCTATCCCAGCATTTGCCTGGAGTGACTGATGAAAATCACAGAAAAGATCAGCCAGAATATATGCTATCCCAGTTGAGATTTGAAATGATCCCATCTAAACTACAAGTGTGGCGCAATATCCCTAGACCAGCCTTTCCAGTCAGCCAAGTGTTACTTACTGAAACCAACATGAAGAATCTGATAGGAGCAATTGTACTTTTGAACCAGCCTGAGTTAAGATATGGCTTCCATGCTGTCTTCTTCACAGGTTATATTGTATGTTGAACTCCTGATATATATGATATATTAAATAGTTATCTGGGAGAGCGGTACTATTTTGGCAGTTGCCTGGAAGAGCTGAGAAAGAAAGCCACTAATGCTGGTCAGAAAGATGGTTGTGAATCTTTGTGCTTGGTATTTTCTGCTGCTGTGTCTTGAATGGTTTAGAATACATAATTTAAGACTATATGTTTTAAATTTGGTGAATGTTTTTGGATTTCAGCAGAAAGCGAGGGAAGGGATCAAGGACGGGGAAGTGTGCAAGACATGGTGGCTACACTTCAGGCACGGCGAGAAGAGTTGCAAGCAAAACTTAATGACAGAAACCGAGAATTAAAACAGCTATGCATACAGGAGGCAGAACTAACAGGAGTTTTGCCTCCAGAAACTCCTTTGGAACCTGGAGAGATTCCACCAGCTTTCAGGCGCCGTGTGGGAACAGCATTCACATATCCAGAGAACCTCATCAACAACAACCAGCTGAAATCTAAAGAGGTAAATCTTTTCGGGATTCTGAAGGATCAGTGTTCTTTTGAATTCATATTAGTGAAATCTGTGTGTATGTGTGCATGCATGCACACATCTTCCCCCCCCCCCCTTCTGATTCAAATATGGACATTAAATGATCTATTTTCACGACACTTGGGATGGTCATCATTTCATTGGAGGTGAATTTTTTATCCCTTTTCAGCAGTACCAATATGGTGATAGTGTGAACATGTGAAGTAGGAGTAACCGTGTGGTGATAAATTGTGAAAAATATGCAGTTTTTATTACTGTTAAATTTTAGAAAAACTGAAAATGATGTCAAAACTAGAATGAAATGCTTTTGTCTGTTTACTGATAATTGATGACTCAGACCAAAATGTTAGTATTGGAACAAACCATGCAATTGAAGTAGGTATTACTATAAAGAAGCTATTACAGATGCATGGTCTGTCACTTGCGTTTGCATCATCAGTTTTCTGTCCTCATGGGACATCAGACAAGTAAATGTGCCATATTTCTTATATGATGAACATGTAGAATATACATTTTGTTTCTAAAAGTAAAAAGTAAGTAAAGTTGTCCCTGTGCTTAACTAATTAAGCACCATGCCATGAAGGCATATGGGACAGTGGATGTATAGATCCACATTTTCTTGACCTCTGTACTAGCTGGAGGTGAGTTGTCAGCTTCATGGCCTAGCTGCCTTACCCCCAGGGAAAGAGCCTGTGGTACCCATTGGATAGGAGGTTCAGTGGACCCCAGAGCATGTCTGTACAACTTGGAAAAGAGAAAATTTTTGGCACTACCAGGACTCAAACGCCGGACCCTTGGTCGTCCAGCATGTAGCCAGTCTTTGTACCGACCGTGTTATCCCGGCTCCTTTTTGTTTCTAAAATAGTACAGTATTATTATATATTTAGCATACTGTGATTCATAGATTTGGCATTTAAAGCTTTTAAATGTAAAACAGATAGTACAACAGATGTAGTTGATGGCTGTAAAAATAAGTGAGAAATAGAGTCAGCATTGGGTATGTGTACTTTCAGGAGGAGACACTGACTGCGTTGGAGTTGGAATGTAAAATACAGAAAGGGATTGCTGAAGCAGCACTGGGACTTGCCAATGAGACCACTTCAAGCAGAGCTGCTCGACGTAAGCATAGGCTTATGTACCAACAGAGCCGCCGTCGCCTGATAGAACTAGAAGCAAGGCTTGACCTGTTACAGCAGTCCAACAAATCACAACATCCAAAGCAGAGGAAGAAGCCACGACCTCCTCTAGATAGTGGTAGTAATCTGATTTTACTGTTTATCACAAATTCTTCACATTGGTACAATAATCAGTAGTAGGAATTTAAATCTATATCTGGTTTTAAATTCCACAGCTGATTATTATACCAATCTGAAGAAGTTGGGCTATTCGTAGACTTCAGGAAAGCCTAAGATTCAGTTAGGATGGAAGTATTGTACAGTATTCTCATAGAGTTTGGGGTACCCATGAAACTAGTTAGGCAGATTAAAATGTGTTTAAACAAAACGTATTGTAAAGTCCATATAGGTAAACATTTGTCTGAAAGTTTTCCTATACAGAATGGTCTAAAACAAGGAGATGCTTTATCACCACTCCTCAACTTTGCTTTAGAATATGCTATTAGGAGGGTCCAGGAAAACCAGGTGGGACTGAAATTAAATGGGACAAATCAGCTGCTGGTCTATGCTGATGATGTGAATCTATGGTTTGTAAGGTAGATATCGTAAAGAAAAACACAGAAACTACAATTGACAAAAGTAAGGAGCTTTTTGTAGAAGTAAACACAGAGAAAACTAAGTAAATGTTGTAAGATTTGAGGTTGCTGTCTCATTAGCTGAATGCAGGGCGACATCATGACATACAGATAGCTAACTGATCCTTTGGAAATGTGGCACAGTTCATATAGTTAGGACTGAAAGTAACAAATAAAAACTTAATTCAGGAGGAAATCAAGATGAGATTGAATTCGGGTAATTCTAAAGGGTTCTGACGATGATGTATAATACTTAGAATTACTGGGCTTCTGGGCTTTGTCCATCGTCATGTACTCTAGAAACTAGAAAAGACAACGTTTCGGAAACTGGATCTGTTTCCTTCCTCAGGTGTGGGGGGAGGTAAGACGCGTACTCTGTTGGGTCCCCTAGAAAGAGCTAATCTGTCACATCTAGTGAACGAAGTTAACTCTTTCTAAGGGACCGAACAGAGTAGGTGTCTTTCTCTCCTTTCACCTGAGGACAGAAACAGATCCAGTTTCCAAAACGCTGTGTTTTATAGTTTCTAGAATACCAGACGATGGACAACGTTAAAAAACCCAGTAATTCTGAATTCAGGTTATGCTTGCTACCATTCAGTCCAGAACTTTTTGGGTTCTCGTCTGCTGTCCAAAAACAAAAAAAAAATCAATATAGAAAACTAATGTTGCCTGTGCTTCTGTATGGGTGTGAAACTTGGTATCTCACATTAAGGGAGTTACATTGACATGTGGGTTTTCAAGATCAGGGTGATGAGGAGAGTGTTTGGACCAAAGAGAGGTGAAGTGATGGGAGATTGGAGAAAGCTGCATAATGAGGAGCTTCATAACTTGCACTATTCTTCAGATATAATTAGAAGTCAAGAAGGATGAGATGGGCAGGGCATGTAGCTGAAATGGGGGCAAAGAGGATGCATGTAGAATATTGGTGGGAAAGCCAGAAGGAAAGAGACCGCTAGGAAGACCAAGACTAGGTGGGTGGATAATATTGTGATGCATTGCGCTATGGAGGACATCCCTTCCCCCGCCAGCAGTGACATGGCGGCATTGGAGTCCTGTCGCTACTGCGGTAACAGGCCAGTCAACACTCCTCCCCCCTCCCCCGCGGTGACAGTGCAGAGGAGCGGCTGTGTCAGGCAACCATTGCTGCGGTGACGTGGAGGGGGATGCAGTGGTTACTGCACAGCAGGAAACAACAACTCTAGACAGCATTGCCCAGCAACACCTGTAAACAGGCAATATGGCAACAGGGAAGCGAGGCGCTTTCCGTTGTCTGCCTGAGGGTTTATAAGAGAACTGCACTGCCTAAGGAGTCAGTTGAATTGGAACAGTCGCTGAGTTCAGTTGTAGCGAGCGAATCGTGAATGCGGAAAGAAGAATACCGGAATGTGTGATTAGAAGTGATAGTTTGTGATAACTGAGAAGTCATCCAGTGAAGACTTATTGTGTGACTTCAAGATTGTGAGCTGTAGTACAGTTATCTTGGGAGTGTGTAATTCAGAGAGACTTGGTTAGCTCCCGAGTTATAAATACGTGAATACTACTGAAGAAATTATTGTGTAGGGTTTATAAATTGGTTAAACCCGCATCTGTGTTATAAGTATTTGTAGTTATGACTTGTAGGTTGTTAAATAAACCGGTTAACAATCTGAACGGTGTCATCAGTAGCAAAACACATTACAATATTAAAATGGATCTTAGGATGGGGTGGTATGGACTGGATTGATTTGGCTGAGGATGGGGACCAGTAAAGGGCTCTTGTGAAGATGGTAATGAACCTCGGATTCCATAAAAATGCTGGGAAGTTCTTGAGTAGCTGCACAGTTAGCGGCTTCTCAAGAAGGGCTCAGCTCCATGAAGTTAAAACCAGTGGGCACTTGAAGTTGTTATGGGAAGTGTTAATTTGTTCAGTTGGTAGGACAGTGTTCATCTTATGATAGTTTAGGTTGGCTGTATGTGCAGCCTCCATGTTTTTCTGTATGTTTAAAAGACACTGACATTTGTTCTTCCGCCCACTATGTAGTGATTCGTTCTACTGGAGTCCAGTTTGCTCTAGCAAAGTTTGCTACTGCACGTGTTATATTGTAACTATAATGTAAGTAAGTAAAAGGCAGAAGCCTAACAATACAATGACGTGTATTGAGTGTGTGATTAAAGCAGTAAGTCATTAACTGAAACTACAGAGATCAAATTTCTGGCAAATAACTTATCAGAAGTAAGGCGAGAAAGACAGGAGTTTGTAGTTGGCCCTCTGTTAAGCACTGGGGGGTGGGGATAAAAACCTGTTGCTCGTCACATAGCCATGCACTTGACTGGTCTATCTGGACTCCTGAATACGATGGGGTACCCAAAAGATACCGAACTAATTTGTTTGTGGGTAGAGCTTTTGTAGTACCGCGTTTTGCCGCTGTGAGCGCATAGAGCTAACATTCCTGAGTCGATAAGCTGACTACCGTTGCTTTAGAAGGTAAGGACTAGTTTCGGCAGAGTTTATAGTGAAACTGTTTTGTGTGATCATCGTTTTTGCAATGCTCATTTTCGTGAACAGCGTGCGGCGGTGAAATTCTGCTTTTTGCTTGGGAAAAGTGGAACACAAACTCTTGAAATGTCTGCTTTTACCGGTTCTCACCGTCGCTTTGCTTGCAGATTTCTTATATTTTTTCTTCTACCCTGAAGATGGAGGCGATACGTTCCTCCGAAACGTCGGTTAACACCACATATACAGGGTTCCAAATCCCAGAAGACTGCTTTCTTCATTTCAGTTCATATACACATGTACTGTCATACATATTGCCTTTTTGTGGTTTTTGTTGTAAATGTTTTTTTATGGTGTTTGTGGTTTTTGATGTTATTTTTATGTTAATGTCTATTATGTATGTTAATATTTGAACCCGAATTTTACATTGTGAGTGTAAATAGTTTTACATTCCTCACACCAGTTAACCCAAGAAAATGATGTGAAGTGAAAGAATTAATCAGTACATTGTGTCTAGTGATGTAATTCTAGTTAAGTCTTGCTATGCAGATTCTGTGACATGGGACTTTGTGATCTCAGGTTGGTATAAGATTCACAGATTTTGTGAATAAGGTTAATGTTTTAAGTTTTTTTTTTTTGTAAAAATTAAGTGCTGCATTGTTTGCCTAGACATACTGATTCTACAACAGAATTGCAGTTTGCATCCACATTAAATGAATATCTATTTTTTTTTCAGATGTGGACTGTGTGGATCGTGACACAGGAGGTGATGCTCTCTCACATGATGGAGGTGTCAGTTTGTCACCACTCAGTCCTGAAGCAGTTGCTGGTGAAACACGTCGATACTGGGACATTCGTCACTCTGCAACCTACGATGGCTTATCTCGGCATGCTGTGAGAGATATGAAAGGAGTCCATCCTCAGTTACAACGGTGACTTTTTGTCAAATATTTTTAGGACTAACAGTTAGTTAGGAACTGTAATAGCTCAGTCGGAGAGTTAATTTATTGTCTGCTACTTGGTCATGATGTGGTCTTTAACAGGGGCAATGATAATTTTGGCGTTTCCCCAGTATTACACGATAATTAGTGTTTTTTGTCCAATCACATATTACAGTTGAGAAACTGTTATAATCCTTTCTATTTTCCAAAATGCTCACTGTCAGAATAGATAAAATAGTGACTTTGCTATATGTTTTAATTGAATGTAGAACATAAACTCAAGGAGGATGAGATGGGCAGGGCATGCAGCACAAATGGGGGAGATGAATGCGTATATGAGATTGGTGGGAAAACAAAAATGAAAGAGACCACTGGGAAGACCGAGGTGTAGGTGGATTGACAATCCTAAAATGGATCTCAGAGAGAGAGAGGGGGGGGGATGGGATGGATTGGATTGGATTAATCTGGCTCAGGATATGGACTAGTGGAGGACTCTTGTGAACATGACAATGAACCTTCGGGTTCCATAAAATGCTGGGAAATTCTTGAGTACCTGTAGAATTGGTGGCTCCTCAAGAAGTGCACAGCTCCTTGAGTGAGTGAGTAAGTAAGTAAGTAGAACATAAGCTCTTGTTTTGGGGGGAGAATGTAAATTACAAGTGTCTGAAGACAAAAGGGCACGGAAAGTATTTGGATCTAAATGAGCAATCTAGGATATTACAGAATACCAAACTTTGTGACTTCTATAGGTCAGCGTTGTTTCAGTAGTGAAAATGAAAGCTGTGATGTACTTCATGAATGTGGTGAGGAGGCCTCTTTGGTATTATTAAGAACTGTAGAGACTGTGGCTTGGTCTGTTTTGTGGCCTCAACTGTTTCAGCTCTCTCCTCCTGACCCCCCTCTCTCCCTAATCTCTTTTCCATGAGCTTTTATAGATAGTTTACCTGCCAGAAGGGCACTGCAGTCTATAAAGGATGGAAAACACTACTTTCTGCATACATATTGAGCATTTAGACTTGGTTTGTTTACTTCAAGATATAACAAAACTACTGATATGTGGAGCAACATGAACTCAGTTTTATGAGCAGTGGTTCATCTAAAGCCATCACTTGGCCTTATCCCACTTGCCACTCAGTGACAGTTGTTCAGTGTGTTCTTGGAGAAGGAATTTGTGAATATATTCAGAGTATTATATCTAATTACCTTCACAAAGGGCATGGGTAAGAATATTGCAGGTCCGAGAACAAACATTGTGTAAAGTAAGTATAGTAAAAATAAAGCTGGCCCTGTAACAGGCCATGAAGGCCCATAGGGTTGTGAAATGTTGAGGATCCCACATTTTCTAGACAGTCGGCTCAAAGATGGCGGTAAGGTTGTCAGCCTTACGCGCCAGCCGCGGTTTACTCCCCAAGAACATTATTTAATTAATTCCTGGTACTCATTTCTGTTAGAGGCTGAGTCGGCCCAGGGCCATAGTGCAGCTGGAAGGATTAGGTCAATTGAAAAAAATCCAATGACCTCATTGGGACTTGAACCCGTGACCTTTCAGCTTGTAGCATAGCCCCTCAACCAACTATGCTACCGCGTGCCCTCGAACAAACATTGTGTACTGAAATATTTTGTTCAAGCTCCCTATGTACAATCAGATTCCCATTTAAGGTTTCTGTGGGGATTAATGGATTTCAACACTAAATTGAGGAATATCTTAAATGGAAGAATTGTAGCAATGAGAATACAGTTAAACTCCAATTTTGCACTCTTGGTTCTCATGTTTTTTCAGATTCTATGCTCTTTTGGTTGGTCCCAGTCAAATACGTGTAAGAACAATGTTAAATTTTCACATATTTTTTGTTTGCTCAAAGTTAAATTTTCTCCATATTTGCACTTTTTTTTTAGTTCCAACAATGGAAACTTACCTGATATTACATTTACAGCATTCTGTTTTGGAAAATTAAAAAAAAAAAAAACACTGTCACCATTGCACTACATTCAAAGTTTGTTGTATCTCTAGATTCTAAAGGGTTCTGACGGTGATGTATAACAAAATTACTGGGTTTTTGAACTTTTTCCGTCATCTGGTATTCTAGAAAACAGAAAACATGATGTTTTGATAACTGGAACTGTTTTTGTCATCAGGCGAGGAAGGGCAAGACACCTAAGTTTGGTTCTTTCTAAGAGGCGCAACTGAGTAGGTGTCTCCCCCCCCATTTCCCCCCGAGGATGGAAATAGATCCAGTATCTGAAAGGTCATGTTTTCTATTTTCTAGAATACCGGTTGATGGAATAAGTCTAAAAACCCAGTAATTCTGAGTTATATCTTTGCATTTGAAAGTTTTTGAACCTTTTGTGCTAAAGCTAAGAGAGTGAGAGCCCAGGGAAAGAAGAAAAAAATGAGAAATGACTGTGACTGGTTATAGAAATAACATAGCATGTAGGTTAGTGTATTTGTATTTACATTGTTATGTTTTCAGACCGGTGTATTTTCAAAGACTTACTGAAGTTATGGTATAAAATTAAACCACATTTTTTCCTTATGTTGCATCAATCTCATTTCCCCTGCATATTATGTTTATTGTAAATAATCCCTTGTGCTAGTTGTTAGTAGTAAAGCTAAGTAGTTAAAACATAGAATAAGTTAGAAGAAGGATGTAAGAACTGCTTTCAGTATGATTTGTCATATTGACTGCCTGCAATTGTATTGATCTGTACAATGTAGGCTGTCGGCCCATTTGAAGAATGTAATATAGTTTTTTTTTTTGTTAGTTCCATGTCATCTGTACATGGAGGTGGTAATGAATAATTGTAAGCCATGACTGAATATTGGTGTTGTGTTATAGACAGTTTGATTGATAGACTCTGTTTTATAATATTTATAATTGGTCAAGTAAGTCTTATGTGAGAGCTGATGGTGGTAACATATGCAAAACCAACATTTTTTTTATGATTACAGAGTTATTGGTATATTTTCTATCTTTTGTTAGCACCACACTCTCTGGTTAACAGTATATTTCATTTATGTTAATTCAGACATGGCAGTGGTGGGCACTTCTCAGGTGGGTTGGTTACAAGCTTGGGAACTGGAAGTGGGCATGTACACTACATACAGCAGTATGCAACGCTGGGAAATGAACTAGAAAATCACCATCCAAGACTAGAGACAGGGCCCACTTCATCAGCTGTATCCACTCTTCCCAGTAATTGGATGCGTCATGATCAGGGACTGTACACAGAGGTGGATTCTGGAATGCACTTGACACATTCTCCCATGCCACGATATCCAGTCTCACATGTTTTGTCTCAGACACAGTCCCGTTGGCATCAGGAAAGGAACAGGTTGGTCATGATAGTTTTCTGTTCTTATGTGCATATGGCTTTAATGTTTGGGCCTTTTTTGGCTAATATGACACAACTTACAGAGAGTGAAATATAATTCAACATTTTATAATTTTTTTATATTGGCTATCCAGCCCCCTTTTGCCCTGGCCTCTGATTTTCAGTTTCATGATCATTTTACAGACGGTAGGACTCCTTGGAGGAGTGATCAGCTTGTTGCAAGGCTGCTGCCTAAACACACGACAACACAAATGCAGAATAAACGCATTTACAGATGGGATTCAGACCCATGATCCTGGCTCTCAAGCGAGCGAAGACAGTACATGCCTCAGACCATTTGGCTACCGTGACTGGCTCAACATTTTGTAATAAAAGTCATTAACTAATATACAGTACTGTGCCAGTTGTTGTATAAAGAAATACATAAAAGTTTTGTATAATGATGTACTGCTATACAGTAATATTCCACTTATGATTTTTGGGAACTTCAAATGTTGGTAATGTAGTTGTTAGTAGTTTAAAATACTGTATTCTCTGATTATTGGGTTGTTTCTTATTCATGTCCTGTTGTGTAGGTTTGGGAGCCTGGATCGACGGAAAGCTCCTGCACCTTCCCACAGTAGCAGCAGTCCTTGTTTGGAGACCTGGAGTACTGAAGACTTGGAGCTGCAAATCCATATGCCAGCGTATCAAGGTGTGATGTATGGTGTATCAAAATATGGACACACCTCAGCACAGCCCTCACTCTTGTGTCCTCCTGTGGAGATGAAACAAAATCGGGCTGATGAACCTCATATACAGCAGGTGGTACAGAGTACTCATTCTGTAAGTGGGGGAGGAGGTAGAGCATTGCTTCCAAATCAGACATATCCAGAACACAGTTTGGGAATAGATGGACGTGGGGGAGGACTGCTCCGAACACAGTCTCTGGGTAGTGTAGATCCCCAGCCAACTGACACGTTAAATAGGAAACATAAGGAGAAGGAATGGTATGAAACATCGCTTGATGCAGATCCTTCACAAGCTACACAAGAGTCACAGTCCCGACCTGCCTCATCCTTGCGAAAACGATCTCCAGAACCTGGTGGACCAGCAACGAGTGATGCTTCGAGCAATCTTTCTAGAAGTAGTAGCAATGTATCCAGTGAACAGCATCCTCGTTATCGTGTGCACCATGTGGTCACAAGTAGGAATGAAACTTTTGACACAGTTGTGCCATTTGAGTTGCCCAAGAATCACACTGTTGTTCAGGCTGGGAAGTGGCAGCCATATCGGGAAGTGACCAAACCTTTTGAAATGGCTGACTTCTACAAGTATAGCACAAAGTTCCGAAAGAATCAGGAGATGGGACGTGCGTCTCAAGTGCCTTGTCCTGACTCCAGTCAACAGCAGCAGCAGCAGCAGCAGCAGCAGTCATCATACAGTACAAGTTCCCCAGGGTACCAAGCCCAAGCTCATGCTTTCAGTGGCCCTGGTATGTGCCTTAATCGAGGTCCGCACTTGGAGTCTCCTACGCCCCAGCAGAAAGGAAAATACAAACCCTTGCAACCAATGACATGTCAACCACTTGATCCTGCTACAAGGTTAGTTTTGAGGGTATCGTTAATGTCAGTTAATGTAAGGAATGTTGCATTTCAGTCATTGTATCTATTCAGGCAATAGTTATTTTAATTATATTTTATTATTGCAGATTCTTAAATCCACCATCCATTAGTAGCTTTAATTAATTGTTGAGGTATTGAGAGCCATTCATGTATCAGTTTGCTTTGCAGGAATCTTGTGGTTTCACCAAATGCATCATTGGATGGTAGCCTGGTGTTGGGAAGTGAAGAGTCACTTGCTGCTGCTTTTTCAACAGAGATGTTGGCCTGGTACCAAGATCAGAACATTCCTCGTTCGGCAACACTTGTCTAACAGCAATACTTACATGTGTCATGTGGTAGGTTGTGAGTGTTCTTAAGAAAATTTGATGAGTTTCATGAAACTTCCCACCTGTTTTTGTTGTATGTAAATGTCATGTCATCCATCAAGGCACATATTCATATTTAAGTATATATTTTTACTATTGTGCACATTTTGACTTAATCTCTGAAGCCACTGATTTGTTGATGTGCATGTTTGCCATTATATAATTTGTCCACATATTTTAGTTGTGAGCTTTTACCACTTGCACTCTTTCATTTTATCATATTTAACCACTTTATTATTTACTATATGGATGCAAACCAAAGATTTGACATAAGAAATTATTTTTAGTACTTAGTACCTGTGTAACAAGAATTCTAATATGAACGCCTTATTCTGAGTGATGTTTTGTTACGTCAGTAAAGAAGCAAACTGTGCTTGGCATCACATTTTTGAAAAGCTGACTTTATTCTAAAAATTGATAGATACGTACACCGTAAACTCAGATTCATGGTTGGAATTCTTCATGATAACAGGCAGGGACTGGTGTGCTTATTTGGTAAGAACCTTAGAAGTCTAGAGAATTGCTAAATGGGACGACTTAGCACATATCTGACTGCTTCTCTCGTATGATGTTGCAAGTTTGTAACATACTCTTTCCCTACTAACTAAAACATCTTAGTATGTTGAAACCCCCATTTAAAGTTTCTTTGCAGAGCAGTGAATTTTAACACGAAACTGAGGAAAATCTTAAATTTTGGAAATGAAACTCAAGTTATTGACTAGGGGTTATTGAAATGGAATGTTAAATGAAAGAAAACCTTAAATTGAGGACACGTAAAATGGGGGCTTAACTATATTTCTGTTGCTTCTGTTATCATTGCAGTTATCCTTCAAGATTCTTCCTGATTAACTCCCCATATTAAGAAGTTATTTACAGTATCTTGGCTTGGCTTAATTTTCATTTTTATATTTCTGCTGTGACACATGTAGGAAGGACTAAGAGTCAATAATATCTACAAAAGTGCGGCCAGTAAGTGTAAAAGGCATACTTTACTGATTATAATTACGAATTTATAGAAACCACTTGCATGCCGGGATATAGTAATGCATGATATTGTAACGTGTTGGGCGTTTCTGAAGACGCCGTAGAGATGGTTAATTGGTTTATTTAACAATCTACAAATAACAGCTACAATTAATTATAACACAGTTGCGGGGTTTCACACTTTATAACCCTAAGCGCAAATCAGTTCACTCTGTCTTCAGTAGGCTACACGTTTACAGTAGGGGAGCTATGTATCGCTGTATCACACACTCCCAATTACACAATCACACACACGTCTGGTTCTTCTTTCCGCGACGGCTGCTATACTCCAACTGTAGTCGGCTGACTGGAGAACTGTTGATAACACACTCGGCGACTGTCGCATTACAACTGACTGGTAGCTGCTGTGCAGTTCCCTTATATAGCCGCAGTGGTGCCTGTTGCGTGCCACGTCACAGTAGGAAGTTGATTACGGGTACATAGCGTTGCGTGTTACGTCACTGCGGAGGGGAGGGAGGGAGCGCTACGTTACCGCCACGCGCCTGTGGCCTGAGTTGCCGCGTTGCTGCTGGGCAGGGAGGGGTTCTCCGTTGCGCAACATGTTACAATATGTATGCCGTGTCCATCTTGTAGTGCACTCACTTTCACCTGTCACTTCACAACATGTTTCGGCAACATAGTGCCATCATCAGGTGCTCCATTTACGTTAATCTATTGCAGTGCTTGCCATTATGTCATTGTAAAATCATTTAAAAATATTTTAAAATAATTTTACAATGACATAATGGCAAGCAATGCAATAGATTAACATAAATGGAGCACCTGATGATGGCACTATGTTGCCGAAACATGTTGTGAAGTGACAGGTGAAACTGAGTGCACTACAAGATGGAGACTGCATACAAAATCAGTGCAACAGGACGCTAAAATACAACATTAGTAATGCATAGTAAAATGGTGCTTGTTCTTAACATGTTAAGAAAATTCTTTTCTTCTGAAACCATCTGAGGTGTGCCTGCCGCTGTGGTGCTTTAGAAATTGTTTGCCTTCGTGAGGTATGTGACTTCTAGGAAAGGAGGTGCCTTAAATTAGTTAACAGTATGTAATGTGTTATTTGGGGTGATGGGACTTTGTCTTCCTGATTCATAATGCACATTCTGATAGTACATTATTAATTAGCTTGGAATGCTAATTCCCCTGAAAAATAAGTGCCTTAGCTATATTCCTGAGGTTGAATGAGTGTATATATTTTTATAATTGTAAGATTTCTTTCCATCTCAGATTTGCCATAACTTGCTCAACATTTTTGATGAAAAAAGTATGAGCACCAGTAAACCTAGCATGTGCTTAAATGTTATGCACATATGGTGAAATGATCATATTGCCACATGATGCTGCATAAGCATCCTGTGATTGCATGCCATAGTTATTTAGAAGAAGGGTGACATTGGTGCCTTTAACTAGTATTGAGAGTAACAGAAATTAAATCATAACCTGGAGAACTTGAATAGACCGAGACATAGGCCCTCGTTATGCCAACTTGTGTTCATCATGGATGAAGTGAGATGGGTTTGGTAAGTAAATGCAGCACCAGAAATGTAACAGACTATATAGTAAACAATTTTTCCCAAATTGTTAGGCTTGTACCATACATGAAGTGATATTGCAGAGTGAAAGAAATAAGATGGAAATAGGATGTTCTCTGAAATGATAATTGAATTTCATATTACTTCATGGCATTATATCGCAGCAGATGGACTCCATTTTAATGTTTATTACTGACTTTGTTATTACTAATTCCAATGAACAGAAAATTAGAATTTGATAGTCAGTTGGCAGGACAGGTTTCTTGCCTTTTATGGAAACCTTAAAACTGGGGAGAAATGCTTTATGTTACATTTCTGATACTAATTTTCATGTGCTTGGTGTTTCTGGGTGAGTTTTATATGAAGAATCTTAAAAAGTTTCAGAGATCATGAAATTGTTGGATTAGTGGTTTAGAGTGGTTTAACATTTTGAGTTTATTCTCATATGAAGAAGGGTTTGTCCCATAAGATGTCTTGTATAGAATTCCCCAGATGCTAATTTTTTGGTCATTCAGATGGAAACTGACAACTGAAACCTTGGCCTCTTAGTTACGTATTTTAGGCCTGTAATATGTATAGTGGCCAGATGATTTTGAAACCAGTGTCAAAATTTTATGGCACAAATTGGTTATGTGATTTGAAGCCAGAGAAAGAAGAGCTGCAGGCTTCTATTTAGGTCCAAACATTGGAGTAGCTGATAAGCAGAAATCCTTGAATGTCATATGATTGCTTGTTTAAGTTCTGCCATTAATATATCACCAGTTCTCATTTTTGTGAATTTAAGATACATGATCAGCCTGGTTGCAGAAAACTAACTAGTTTGGAATTGTTTTGTTTTTTAATTTCTCTCTAAGTGCATTCAGTCAGTCATAAATCAGCCAGTTTTTAAATTATAGTCGGCATTGAGAAATGCTTTGTTTTACAGAGTATGCTATGAAACTGGTTGTAAGTTTACAACTCTTTATGGTAGTTCCCTTTTTTCTGCCACTTTAATTCCAGTATATATTTAACACTGGTGGTGATGGGATCTTTTAGCAATGCTACCATGATGCAAAGTTAAAGTTTCGTTAACAGCAAAACAAAATGTGGATTCAACTTGATATCTACCGCTGTGTACTGTGGCAGTAAGGCAGTATGTGGGCATCTTGCTCCAGCCTTCAGATACTTCCTTTGATGTAGATTGACAGGTGAGAGGTCAACCTCCTCCTTTTTTATTTCTGCTACACTCCTCTCCCTATTCAACCCACCCTCTCCCCTGCCACTTACAGGGTCTAGCTTATTGCTGCAAAGATTTTATGGACTGCTGCCATGTTTTAAATATATTGGGACTGGCTGCACACCAGCCTTGCGTTTGGTTCTTGCCTGGGTCCTTTGCATGTGTAGTTGTTGGCAGTTACCTGTCATTGCTCACAGGAGTGGAACTGAGTCTGTGTTGTCCAGTGGGTGCTGATTCTTCATACCTCCATAGTCTTGTGTCTCTGCTTTTGTATCTACCCAATCCTCATGCTGATATCAATCCATTGGTCGGTCCTTTGTATTTCCGTGTCTCATTTCAGATCCCAATGTTGAGGAAAGCCATTTTACAGCTCTCCACTGCAGGTAATTATTTTGTTGCTCCATTATACTGCAGACATGTTCTTCATCTCTTACTGTAGCAGGAGAATCAAGTGAAGTGTTTGTTTCGGCATGGATAATGTGTGTGCCGAACTAACCAGAGGATCACACTTGACATTTCGGGGTGAGATGTGAGTTTGATAGTATAGAGGGAATTTGGATTGTGGGAACCTGGAAGACAGGTGCTGAGAGGAGCAGTGGTTCAGTCATACAAGAGGGACATTTCTCTGAAACTGCTCTGAAATAAATGATCACGAGGCTTTGTTTCACATAATCATATAACTTCATTCGTCACTATGATGTTCCATGACAAAATGCTGAAGCTATTAGTCAGTCCTTGTTCAGTAATGAATTTGAAATCAGCCATGCCATGACCAAAGTTATATGAAGGCTGCATAATTCATAATCATAATTAAGTGCTAATAATGAGGGCCTTCCAATGAAGTCTGGCAGAATAAGAGAATCAAGTCTTCTGTGGCCAAAGGAATGTCTAATACAAAGAAAATGTGTGTCGTCAGTTCCTCTGGAAGACTGCTTGTTACAGAGTGACTGTGCTCTGAGTACAACATGGAGTATACAGATTACCACTGTAAGGGTTTGTTCTCATATTCAACTTTGCACCACTGTCTGCATTGTCTCTGTTGGTACAGGGTTGATTTTAACATTTAAAGGGTTTGTTATAATCTGCAGGGTTTAACATGCTATTTTGGAAACATTTGGTTGGAGCCTCACCTTCTTTCATTTGCTATCTTCATTGTACATGGGTGATGTACGTGGCTTTGTTAGAAGTTGTCAGAGACCAGTATGTCTTTGTCACTGGCTTTCGTTACTCAAGTTGCAGGTGCAGTAATGTTATACTCTATTCTTTTGCACTGGCTGTGACCAAAAAGTAAGTACTAAAATCCCCAAGTTGAAATAACATAAAGAATAACCAGATAGAGGTATCTGTTAGTTAATGGTTCATTTACATTGGATTTCCATTTTTCAGCATTTATAAGTAAATATTAGCAGTTGTATAGTACCAAGAAATTATGCAGTATACAAATATGTTGAATTCATATTGGTGTCAGATTCTTTTTCCTGATACAATAATTGACTTATTGATATGAACAGATACCATAACATAAAATGCAGTACCTAAAGATGGCTTCTTGAAACACTTGAGATGCCTTGGTTTCTCAGTTTACAGTATCCTATTTGTTAAGAGTTCTCTCAGTAAGATTATTTTTAATACAAAAAAGTAATTGTGTAAGCAAGCAAATGTTACTCTGCCACAGCAGAAGTGAATAAAATGTATGTTGTTAATGAAGGATGCCATCTGAGATTTCGGGAATACTCATTTTTATTTTCTTCTATGGGCATATTATTTTTCAGAAAAGGAACAGGAATTGGCTGTTGCAGAGAGGTATAATGTGTACAAAAATGTTACTGGTTTAGTTTCTACTGCCATCCTAAATGTGAAGACGCTATGAAGTATACTCCATGCCCTTGCCTGTATATACCAGGAAGGATTAAAAAGTTCCCTGAACTTAGTCATATCAAGATAATTGCTTCCTGCTGAAATGAAGGGGGTGGAATGCACAGGAATGGACCGTGTGCTATTTGTGTAGCAAGCTGCAACAGGCTGGAACACATAGGATGCTCAAGTCAGCCTTGGTGAAACAATTAGATCCTGCCCCATGATGATGCATCCTATCACACCTCCCTCACACTGCAACACTTATTTTTGCTAAGAATTATATCCACCCATTGCCCAGCCACCATATTCTCTAGACCTTGCCCTTTGTGACTTCTAGCACTTCCTGATACTTGTGATGGCGCTTGAATGTTATTATTTGCGTTTGTGGAGGAAATCGAGCAGAATGTGAGAGCAGGTCTCACAGAGATACTAGGAGAGGACTTCCAGAGGTGCTTCCAGCAATGGGAAGACTG